ATGCAGGAAAGCTGCTTTTGAAAATAGAGAGCCAACTTAACCCTTTAAAGTGACTGACCTGAAGTGTCAAGTATCTTGCTCTCAGTTCTGTCAAAACATCAAGAGGTGCAACTTTTGTTGCAACCACACAGCTTTAGTAACTTAGTATCCATGTTCCATGTTGACTTTTTTGTCAACACAACCCTAGTCATCTCCTCAGTCAGAAGCTAATTTTCCATGTGGATTAGTGCTGTTTGGAGGATAAATTCTGAAGAAGGTAATCTCTCTTCTCTAACCTATAATACTTGAGAAAATAAGATAGAAAATTCTCCCATTCAAACCTTTTACTTAGATTTCGTAGGTCACTTCAGGGAATTATTTTCTAATATCATTGTTTTAAGATGTATTCATAACACCTGAATGTTAGTTCTGATAGGCAGAAGGCAATTTTATTCACTCAGGCCAGGACAATAAGTTGAACAAAGTAAGTTTCATACAGAGGAAGAAGAGGCTATTACTTCAGTTTAGTATATAAAAAGGATATTTGTGAAATGGCATAAACACTACCTACCTACCGTTATGTCTGTGCAGGTGATCGTTGGGGGGAGGGATAGCTCAGTGGTTTGAGCATTGGCCTGCTAAACCCAGGGTTGTGAGTTCAGTCCTTGAGGGGGCCACTTGGGGATCTAGGGCAAAATCAGTACTTGGTCCTGCTAGTGAAGGCAGGGGGTTGGACTCGATGACCTTTCAAGGTCCCTTCCAGTTCTAGGAGATGGGATATCTCCATTAATTATTATTATTATTATTATTATCGTTGTTTCTAGCTGTAGAAGTTCAGTGCAGTACTTCTGACAAACTTTTCATTTATACAAATAGCTCTTATTGCCAAAACCGCCAGTTGAGATTATTTCATTTAGCAGTGGTAGAGCAATTTAGGGAGGTTTGGTTTAGATTGGTGTGGAAACTAACAGGAAAAGGATTGGCGTGTGTAAATAAATGGCTTATTCGTTCCTGTTCCCACATCATTTTGGACTGGAAAAACTATACCTGAGTTAAGAATGAACCCTGGCTGCTTTTAAAAGCTACATCAGCTGAAGTCCTAGTTTTCTGGTCTACAATGCCTAATAAATATGGAGACACTGGCAATATACTGCATGTGTACAATATACTGCATATGTAAAGCAGAGTTATTTATGATAAAGCTTTAGATAGGCACTGGGCTTTGAATTTCCACTAAGAGCATAAGTGGTCTGTTTGCTTTAAACAAATTGTCTTGCAACATTCCATTGGTCTTCTTTTTCAGCTCTGCTCAAAGGCCTGTCGTTCTGGCATCCAAATCCAGATTCACCTTTTCAGTTTCTGTCCTGGACCTAGATCTGAAGCCATATGAAAGCATACCACATCAGTACAAACTTGATGGCAAGATAGTAAACTATTATTTGAAGAATGTACAGGCCAAAGATGATCCAATGATGTCAAATCTGTTCAAGGAGAATGAAGACTGCACACTAGTTCTCCATAAAGTGTAACTGTTTCCTTAAGGTTATGGTTGAAAGTGAAGGGTTAATGAAATGTACTTACATTGATTTTCTATTATGTTCAGTGCATTTTTCAGCTGTGAATGTTTTTACTTTAAGAAATATATTTTAATGGGTATGCCTTTCAAAGACATGGCATAGTACTAAAAAAACACCTTCCAATATATAAACTTAATCTGAAGGAATGTATTCAATATTACAGAACAGATGTGTGCCATACCCTGCAACAACATGACAAATCAACTTGAGGTATAAGTCCATGTTCTTAAAATTGAATGACTACTATGTGAAGCACCGAATGAAATGTTCTGGATTAATTCTCATTTATTCTTCAGTGCAGAGTTAGGAATTTCCAGATACATTGCACTAATGCAGAAAGCCTGATCATTAACATGAAAATTACAGGATGGCCTTGCACCTTGTGCATTTTAACACTCAATTTTTTAAAACAAAAGCAAACCCTCCACTCCCTGCATTAATAAAACCAAATTTAAAATTAAGCCGCACTGAGCACATTAAAAATGCACTAAACTTAATTCAAAATAAATTGCTGCCCATGTAATTTAATGTTTAAAAAACAAAACACACTACTGAATTGTATAATTGCTCTTTGGTGCTGGCTAGGTAGAGCTTGCATGTTAGTGCAAATCTATTTTAAGCAGAGTGAGTGAAATTGAGAACTCCAGACTCTGCTTCCAAAAGTGTTGTGATCAGTCTGAAAAAGCTTTCTGTAACGATTTGTATAAATGTAAGTAGAAATTCACAAAATAAGGGGTAAGGGTTAGGGATTTTACTAGGGAAGCAGCCTTGATTTTTAATTATTTGCTGGTTGAACATATCAAGCTTTGATCCAATGGTCTACACCGAGCTAGTCCTGCTAAATTAGTGAATCAGGAATTAGCTCTTTCTTAATTCAAATTTAGCTATAGGAATCGTATACTCAATTTTTGTCCATGTGATTTTGGACTTAATTCAGATGCTTCTAAACTTTTTTGTGCATTAAACAGCAGCTAGCAAAGGCTGCTCTTGAATCAGGCTGTGACTGCAATGACATTTTCTTGAGAAAAGGGTTGACAGATGGTATCTGCTTTATCTTGTAAAGTTCATTGTAATCGTAGGTTGTGACTTTTCCTTGATGGTGGGTGTCAGTTAACTTTGTACCAACATTTAGCAGTGGCTTTAGTTTGTGTGGTAACAAGTTAAACACATTCTGCCAAGCTGGAGATGATTTGTGTGGATGAGGTGCTATTCCCTGATTCTTGTGAAGTTTAAAAGTGAAACAGGTTCAACTAGATCAAAAACAGTGGGATGAAACTATGTATTCAGAAATGTGGGTATTGTGGTATAATGAACTACAGGTTCTCTTAGCTGTTGAAAAGCTTTCTTTACATTTCTTTGGGGCTCTCATACCCTAAGACTGTACAAGGAGATGTTGTTCAAGCCCATCTTGAAATGCTGCTATCTGTATACAGTAGGTATGTAATGGTAATAAGTTTCAAAATATGGAGGTTGTCTTAACAAGGACTTACCTCTCCCTATAAAGTAGTACAGTAGATTTATATTGGGAGCTTGAATCTAATGCCCTTTGTTTCATTGCATTTTATTTGAACTTCTTCAGAGTATTGGCTTTCATAAAAAATGGCGCCGTGTTCATTGGCAGGACCCAATGTACAATTCTGTGAAACCATGGCCCGTTTGACAGTTGGGCACAGAGTGGTGATAGTCTTAATGAAAACTTATTTATACAGCAGTATTGCTTAACACTTAGAAGTGAACCATGTTACTTTGATTCACTAAACCTACCACCAGTTAGTAATGTGCCTTTCTGGGGTACAGTTGTTTGCTCTTGTTATATCCACAGCAGTCTGACCTAGTTGTTGATTTATTGCAGTTTGCTGTGTGGCTAGCTGCAGTGTTGTAATAATATCTTCTGAGCAGAGAATTAAAAGAAAAGTCACATTTAATTCAAAGGGGCGGGTCATTTTTAGTCAAAATGATGAGTTGTCTACAGCAGGGGGAAAAAAAAACTTACTGTGGTCAGGTTTATGCTGTAACTTTCCACTCTTGGTGTATGTACACACCATAGTTCAGTTTCCATGTATATGCAGGAAGCATCTAACTGTAATTTGCTGCCATATGTATTTTAAAGAGGAAACTCGCTGGCACAAAGAATCAGGATTACACAAAAATAGTGAAATGGATGTAGTAGTATTAGTTAGTTCTGCCTGCTTAGCAGCAGAACCCCAAAACAACCTTTTCTATGTCTGAATAAGAAGAAATTTGAAATAAACTGCAGTCTGGCAGCATTTAATGCCTTCTGTTGCTCAACCACATGCTCGTTCTGTGGGGGCAGGAAGACTGAATCAAGCCACCCACATTGGTGCTTCAGTTCAGTTATTCCTTGCCAGAACAGACTGAATGACAAAATAGATGATTGATATTTTCTGGTAATGACTGACAAGCTTACTGTTTTAAAACAGGCAGGTCTAATCCAAGATCTACCAGGCTTACTCTGCTTTATGTGTGCATGTAAATGTGTGTACACTGCTTGCGCCATCAAAATGTACGCCAGCTCGTAGTTGTGTATGCATACTTACAGAATCATGTACTTGAGTTTGCAGAAGAACTCTTAATTGAAACTACTTAGCAAGAGAGTTCTCCGTTTACATAAATTATAGCTTTTTTGGCCCCTGAGCCCAGAAAAATATTTACTCCCAACATATATGCAAGTACACCATTTTTAAGGTATCAGCGATTAATTTTGAGCTTGCCTGCCATCGCTTTCCCAATGTTCAAAGGCCTCCAAAAGTGAAATGAGGAGGTCACGTAACTATATGGAAACTCGCTGGCTATTGTAGTACTTTTAAAGCGCCAGTACAAAATTGACTGTTTTCCCCCTTTGAGAAATGCTAGACATTTACAAGTGAGCTAATACTAAAATAATTGATGGGCATAATGAGGTTGCAAGAAATGTCTTGAAACTGCTTCATATTTATTTGCAATGTGTAAAGTATCAAGTTGACAATACTCCTCAATGATGGTGCAAGCTTTCAGTGCTTTGAAACCAAACCATGATAAACAGTAATTAAAGTGCAACACTTTGTGAAAGTAGTAATGTCTATTCTGCATCGCCATTATAGAAGAAGCAGCAACTGTACTGTTTCACTAGCATTCACAAAATTGATTTCTAACCACCCGACTATTCTTCACGAACTTAAATTTGGCTGTATTGATCATTTATTTCTGTACTTCTATCTTAATTGAGTAGAAGGAATATTTAAATACAACTTTATTCTGCTTTCCATGTCACTGTTCTCTCTGTTTAAAATCACTGTACTTTTTGTATAGAGCTGTGAAATGAAACGTCCACTTTTTATTGACTTGAAATTGACAGCACATGTTCCTGTAACCTGTTCTAGAAAATGTTAAGGACAGAAGAACCACTCTGGTACATTAATTCAGAAATTTAAATTTATAATGAAATTCACTCTGTAATTATTTTATTTGGCATTTTTGTATTTAAATTGCTGTATTTATTTTTCATGTCATGACAATTTATATATAACGTGCCATAATTGTACAGATAGCATGTTTTATGGGTATGGTTTTTAAATGGAAAATAACTTAATGTTTATATTCAATAAAATTATAGACTGCATAACTCAATATCATAATTAAAAGAATTTCCAAATTTCTACTAGTTATAAGTTTTGTAAGTGGTATTCATTTCTTCATGCCAACTGATTTGATCAGACTTTCAATGGAGGCCTCAATCCCCAGCAAAAGGAGCATATTTCTGAAGCACTGGGGTCCATTTTCAATAGCTGCTTTCTTATCCTGCAGGGCTGCAAGAAAAGAAAAGATTAAATACAAGTAAGTCCTAACTACAGCAAATGTCCTGGGGCATAAAACCTAGTTAAGACGACAGTACTGGGCTCATGTGCCATTTTAGGAAAATGTGACTGGAATTATTTAACACCTCTGCAAAGCAGCTTGAGTTAGGAACAAGTAAATTCCACACTTTGCCACTTAATCTAATCATTTGAATAAGGGGTTTGAAGCCTTTGCTTTATTTCTGTTAGACTAATTTACACATCAAGATTAAGCTTGGAATAATTATGTATCCAGTTGTTTGCCTCTGTCTTTAGAAAAACAGACTGGTTATTCTCAAGCTTTAGAACAGCAGTGGAATGTAAACTAAAAATTGTTTGGGTAATACCCTTACAAGGAAAAGGGATTCTGAACTTCTTGCTTTGCAGTAAAGGGTCATATCTGAATAATTTTCATGTTTCATTAAGACAAATTGCTTTATCACTATGAATTAACAAAATAAACATAGCTTGTGGAAGCTGCAGCATCTCCTCAAGCTTCCTAGACACCCCTACAGAGCCTGCCAAAGTATTATTGTGGTTTCTGGACAACTAGCACAAACCTTCTCTCTACCAAATGTGCTGCCATCAGATTTCAGATAGCTCATGCTTCCAAATTGACTGATATTAAGCAGGTAGAAGCTATGTACAATTGAGGCAGTACTGTAACACATTAGTCACTGTATAAATAAATACCTGTCTAACAGTCAAAGGCAGTTAGATTTATAAACACAAAGCAGCTCCATCAAATGTTTTTGGAATGTGTCTTCAATGAGACAGACTTCAGTGGCATATAAAATAGGTAGCAGAGAAAACAGGCTGCTTCTCTTTGACTGACATGTCTACCATGCCCTGCAATACACAATAATGCCACTAACCTTGTCAGGGGATCATACATTTTTTTTTCTAACTTAAATTTGGTATGAGAGCGCAAAACGAATTAAAAAGCCCAAAGTTTCAGTTAGTTGTTGAAGTTAAAGCAGCACAGCAAGCTAGATGAACTCCCTCCCCCTAAAATTGAGCTTTGACAAGAATTTTTTTTTACGGGGTCGGGGTGAAATGTTCAGACTCTAGGTTAACAAAAGTTGTTCTTGGCCTGAGCTGTCATTACTTTCAAAAAGCATTACCATTACATACCACGCACGTTTTTTAAACAGGAAACACTCAGGCCTTGGCTACACTTACCCGCTAGTTCGACGGCTGGAAATCGAACTTCTGGGTTCGACTTATCGCGTCTAGTCTGGACGCGATAAGTCGAACCCGGAAGTGCTCGCCATCGACTGCGGTACTCCAGCTCGGCGAGAGGAGTACCGCGGAGTCGACGGGGGAGCCTGCCTGCCGAGTGTGGACCAAGGTAAGTTCGAACTAAGGTACTTTGACTTCAGCTACGTTATTCACGTAGCTGAAGTTGCGTACCTTAGTTCGAATTAGGGGGGTAGTGTAGACCAAGCCTTAGTAGACATAGGTTTATGCCTATTAGGATGATACAAATGTTTTTGAAACTGATGCACTGGTCTAATAAAATGCCAGGTCTTTCATGTCTGCAGCCATTCCTACAATACCAGTCAAAATAGGTTCTGCTAGATCTGCCACACATCACAAGTTAGAGCATGAGCAAAGTATGACATATTCTGAGTAACATGCGCTATATTGTGAGTCCAGGACACAAACTATTTAAAGTCAGTAATAGGGAAAACACGTTTAACATATACTAGACACACATTACCTTGCACTGGTATTCTAGGCAGAAGATCCAGGACAGGTGTAACTCTCCCTTCTTCATCCACGTATATTTTCCAAACAATCATTAACTCAAACCTGTATCGTGCATATTGGGAAGCACCTTATTTAATAATAATGCACAAAAGTAGCTTGTATTTTTCTATGCTGAAGTTTTCTTCCATGCATAACTGTTTTCCTGCAGAAAATAACTTATCAGAAAGTTGCTGCAGTTACATCTTTTGCTCACCAGGGCCCACTGTGGAGCTAGAACAGAGCAGCTGCTTCTGGGCCATACCCAGCTGCAATAGGGAAGGGAAGAGGCTGCCTTCCTGAAGGCAGCAGAGCCAGGTCAGGATAGAGGGGGACAGACAGGGGTTCATAAGGGCTAGGAGGGGAGGACAGATTGGGGTAGGGGCTGAATGGGAGTAGAGGCACAGGGCCACAAGGATGGGGGAGGGGGCTGGCTGAGGGGGTGCAGGACCACATGGGTGGCTGAGTGGAAGCACAGACACACATGAGTGCAGGGGGTACATGGGGACAGGCAGATGTGCCTGACTGAATGGGAAGGTCTAGGGGTCAGCCAGGGTCTGTCCCTAACAGTCGCTCCCACCTACACCCAACAACCCTCCAGGTTCGCTTCCAGGCTCCTCCCCTCTCCCTCAGCTCCTCCATTACACCTGACTCCCCCAAACCTTTGCACTGCTTCTGAGGGGGGGTGGGGATGGGAAATAAAGTTATGTATTGTAGTTTAAATGCATTACTCAAAATTCTGTATTTATATGCCTAGTAAGGAATCTATTTGTCAATGATAATTTTTCATTGTCTGTATTGTAACAGGCATAGTTGCCGACAGATATTTTGAAATAAATTACCAAAATAATTGAAACTGATGTTATTTTGACAAATTAAAATATGTGCAGAATTTCTAATTTTTTGGCACAGAATTCCCCCAGGAGTAACTAATAAAGAAGATTGGGTAAATCTAAATGTAGTATAATGAGAAAGATTTGGAGGACAGGGGAAATGATCACCTCCAACTTTGTGTAGTTCTGGTTTCCCTGTATAAGTTAGCAAATTAATACCTTATCACTTTCATAAACTGAGGGAAAAACTATGTTTCAAATAATCATAGTGACCATTATTTATTTCTTTTGCATTAGAAGTAATAAACACACATCCTCTGAGGACCTTATCAATTATTCATTATTACAAAAGCAAAATGTAATTCAAGCAGCTTACCCCTCCTACTGAGCAACAGCACATAATGAAATACTGATACCCCCACACCTGACCCTGTTCTTCAGACCCTCCTAACTCTTTGTGCACGAGGTGAAACAAACAGGCCCTGCAGCATGACATCGAAAATTGGCAAATCTGGACCACTCAGACCAGGGTCAGGAAGACATTGCTGAATCCCAGGCCCTCATGGAGAATTCCTGCCAACTGCCCTGTCTGTTATAGCAATAGGGATCTAGCCTCAGTATCTCTTCTGACCACAACTGTGGCAGGGTATCACGGGAGAGAACGAAGATGGAACAAAACTGCAGCCTCTAATTTGAGACACTTCCACTTTAAGGTATAATGTGTGGCAGGGGCATGTTTTTGATTTGAATTTTAGGGTCCCAAATCTTTCATTTTGGGTTTGTTTGTGGATCAGTCCCAAAGTGGAAGATACCTACTTCCTGGTTCTGGATTGATGCAATCAGCCTTGCAGGAAATTTGGACCAGATCATTAGAAATGTTACAAGAGCAGGTATTATATGAGATTTCCAGTGTCTTGAGCTAAGATCTTAGGAGAACACCTTAGATTTTACCCAGCACTGAATCCAACTTTGAACTTGGGCTACAAAGAGATTTGAAACTGCTTCCTTGGCCCATCTTGACTCTTAGAGCTCTTAAATGTACAGAATTGGGGCCAAATCCTGCTCACATTACTGACACAATGGCTCCATTGACTGAACTGAATTACTGTCATCAATGAGATGAGCAGGATTCAGCCCCTGGTTCACAAACAGTATTTGTAATGGAATACATTGCAACAGAGATGTTTTCAACTATAACTGATTATGATGAAGTCTAATACTAGTATAACTTATTTAAAATGTAATTCAAAATCTAAAATTCTACTGGCGCCTCCTACCATCTCTGACTATCTCTTTTATGCTGTATATTTTTTTAAAGGGTTCTATAAATTAGCAACATATAGTTGTCATCCCCAGAAAGGCCACAGTGAAATAGCTTGCGCCACATGCTCTTTGCTTCTTGTATGTGTTGCATCTATGAAAAGCATCACACAACTCCATGGTATACACTAGGGCAATAGGTGAGTTTCCTTTATAAAATAAACAATGTAATTCTGAGATTAAACTACCTTTCAATGTGTAAAAGTGAAACTGAAAAACAGTTCTTGCTGGATTTATCTCCAGCTCTAGAGACAATGAACTCAAATTTCAGGTTTTGTTCAATTCTTTTTAAATACAGATATTAATAAGCATCTTGAAATTGTCTTACCCAGAAAGTTCAGGGCTCCTTATAACCAGGTAATCTCCAGATGGTCCTTCAGGAAGTGTTACAATATCAGGATATTTGGCCTGTTAATAAAAAGGGAAATAAGAATATAACCACACAAACTGGCTTCAGCATATACTTTTTTTCCAGTTACGATTGGTCTTAAGAACTATTAAAGACAAAGACTAAAAAGTGCTAAATTTATACTGAAGTGTATTGCAAAGCTCTAACAATGTTTAGACAAAATCAGATGTATGTAAGAGCAAAATGTATTATTAAATGTACAAAACAAAACCTTCATTAATATACTCAGTTTGTTAGCATTGTGGCCTGTCCATCACCGCTCCTTTTTTTTTTTTCAGTAGTGATTCTCCAAAAGAATGAAAACTCAACAAAATGTATTAATTTCATTGTTGGTTACTCAGATCATTTGTTTATTAAACATGTTTTAATGTTTCATCTTTTCTTAATACTTAAAATGTGAGCATCAACACAATAAAACGTAAACAACAGAATTTCTCTTCTAGAATGACGGGCCAAAACTGGAAGCTATTTCTCTCCTTGACATTAAAACATCTTAAATTGTGGGGAAGCTTGGTAACACTCCAGAGTCAGACTAAATTTGCATTTAAAAGAGGAGGTTATTATCTGTAACTGGAGGTTCTTCGTGATGTGTGGTCCCTATCTGTATTCCATTGAGGGTTTACACCCCTCCACCATGCGTCTGGAGCCAGAGAATTTGAAAGTAATGTCCATTAGTCCGCGCATGCGCCCTGGCTCGCTTCATGGTTTCATCCGAGGTGATAAAGGGCATCTCCAGTTCCTTTTCCACTGCAAATCCAACAGATCTGTGCAGAGGGGAAGGAGGGCAAGAAATAGAATACAGATAGGGACTACATATCTTTAAGAACCTCCTGTTATAGGTAAGTAACCTCATCCTCTTCTTCAAGGATGGGTCCCTCTTGTATTCCACTGAGGGTGATTAACAAGCAGTATCTAAGTCAGAGGAGGATGGAAGGGTTAAGCAAAGGACAGCTGGACTGAAGAAGGCAGCTGCCTTGGGTGTGTAGCAATGGTGTGTACTGATCTCCTTGTAGCTGCTCTACCTGTCCTAGAGTGGTACATCATGGAAGGAGGCCACATTTGAAGCCTGAGCTCTCATAAAATGGGCCCACACCCCAGAGTGTGGAGGCAGACCAGATAACTGAGAGAGTGTAATGCACCCCAAAATCCACTTGGAGAGTCTGTGTGTGGAGAGTGCCTGACGTTTAATTCTTTCAGCTATTCTAACAAACAGTCTGGGGGATTTCCTGATTGGTCTTGTCCCATCGAGGGAGTGGAGTTGTCGTCCTTCTTCAGAGTTGTGCTGCTTTGGGAAGAAAAAAAGTGAATGGATTGATTAACATGAAACTGGGAAATGACCTTTGGCAAAAATTTGGGATGCAAGCACAAGGAGACTATCTGTATGGAAAGTCGTGAAAGGAGAAACCCATCATGGCCCCAAGTTCACTGACCCGTCTTGCCAAAGTGACAGCAATAAGGAAGGTGGCCTTTGTGGAAAGGAAGGCTATAAAGCATGATGCCAGTGGTTCGAAGGGCCGTTTCATTAGTACGGATAGAACTAGGTTGAGGTCCCACTGGGGAGTGATGGGTTGTATGGGTAAGAAGGTTCTGATGAGGCCTTTCCAAAATCTTGCAGTCAACAGGTGTATAAAGAGAGAATGTCCTTCCACAGGGGGGTGGAAGGCACTAATTACCACTAGGTGGATCTTGAGAAAGTTGAGGGAGAGACCTGATGTCTTCAGTGACAGGAGGTAGGCCCAAGCGGAGGGGAATCCCCACTGCTTCTTGGGAAAATCCCTTTTATTGGGCTCAGGAGGTAAAGCATTTCCACTTGGCCCAGTAACAACACCTAGTGGATTCTTTCCTGCTGCTGGAGAGGATGTTTTGCATTTCTGAAGAACACTCCCATTCTAAAGATGATACCCATCCAAATACCATGTTTTGAGGTGAAGCGCTGGTGGATTGGGATGTCTGATCTTGCCATCATGCTGTGTCAGTAGATTGGGGAAGGTGGGAATGGGCGGACATACAAAGGAGGTTGGGAAACCAGAACTGTCTGGGCCGGTCGGAGGCGAGCAGGATGACTCTTGCTCTGTCTCATCTGATCTTGTGGAGTACTCATGGTAGGAGTGGGAGAGGAAGGAAGGTATAGTTGATCTGGTCTGACCAGGGGAATTTGAGAGCATCGCCCTGAGAGTGGAGACCACCCACTGGAGCAGCATGTGCTGCATTTGCAGTTGATAGAGGAGGCAAAGAGGTCTCTGGTCAGAGTCCCCCACTGGTCAAAGATGTGTCACACCATGGAATCGTGGAGTTCCCACTCGTGGTCGATCACAAACTGCCTGCTCAGCAAGTCTGCAATCACATTTTGAATCCCCGGGAGATACACTGCAGATAAGAGGATATGGTGTGCGATGCACCAATTCCAGAGGTTGATTACTTCTAAACAGAGAACGGTCGAGTTTGTGACCCCTTGTTTGTTGGCGTACCAAACAGTGGTGGTGACATTGTCCAACATAATAAGAACATGATGGGAATGGGTGAATGGGAGAAATGCTTGGCATGCCTTCCTTACAGCCTGCAGTTCCAGAATGTTGATGTGCATCATGGATTCCCAAGGAGTCCATGTTCCCTGCACCATGTAATTTGCCCAGGTGCTTTCCCCAGCCTACAAGTAATGCATTGGTGATGATTGTCTTGTTCAGGGAGAAGGGGAGAATGGGAGAACCCGTACACAGACCTGGCATGGGTCCGTCCATCAGTGAAGGGAAAAGAGTACCGGGGGGTAGGGGCTGTCAGCATGAGGTTTGGGTGAGTAAACCATCTGGACGCAGCGAAGATGGAGACGTACATGCATGGGGCCATATGGCCAAGGAGGGATAGTCACGTCCTGGCTGGGACAGATGGATTGTTGATTACGTGGTTTACGAGCTCTTGCAGAGCCTGGAACCTGTCCCGCAGTAGGTAGGCTCGTGCTATGATCGAGTGGACAGAGGCCCCTATGAAGTCTAGGGGTTGTGTCAGTTCCAAGGTTGATTTTTTTTAATGTTGATGCTGATTCCAAGGGAAGAAAGGAGGCCAGCTAACATGGAAGTTGAAGCTTGGGCTTCGCATCTGGATTGTGCCACCTGGAGCCAGTTGTCAAGATATGGGAATACAAGGACTCCATAATGCCTGATGTAAGCTGCCACGATGGAGAAAACCCTGATGAAGACTTGGGAAGCAGCATTGAGTCCAAATGGAAGAACCCTGTACGAAAATTATGTGAGCTGATTGTGAACCTCAGGAATCATGTGTGGGCCAGATGAATGTCCATGTGAAAGCAGGTGTCTTGCATAGCAAGAGCTGTAAACCACTTGCCTTCTTGTAATGATGGGATGATTGCTGCTAGTGTGACTATACAAAACTTGGGCTTGCAGATGAAGTGATTGAGAAGGTGGAGGTCCAGAATTGGCCTCCACCCGCGTTTCTTTTTAGGTATCAGGAAGTAAGTTGAATAGAACCCCGTCCCTTGATATTCTGGAGGAACCTGCTCTATCATTCCTCTTTGTAGTAAGGAGTTCGCCTCTTGAGTGAGAATGCTGGTATAAGAGTGTTCCCTGAGGAGACATGGTGGGGGGTGGAGGGACCTGTGGATGAGGTAGCATGCTGAACTCAAACATAGACATGGTGGATGACACTTAGCACCCATTTGTCTGTTGTTATTGCAACTTCAAGCTGGAAAAAAAGAGTGCTAGATGACCCCCAAGGGGAGTGGGATGGTTGTATGGCAGTAGGCAAGGTGGTTGACAGTTCTCTAGAGTTTCTAAGAAATATCTTTTCTGTGAGAGCTGCATGTGGGAAGAGGAAGGCTGTGAAGGTGGACCCAGAGGGTGAGATCTTTGAATCTTTTGATGCTTCCATGGTGGTTTGTAAGGCATCTGATGTAAAATCTGGGATGTTCTGTAAAGTTGTATGGATGGTGAGCGAATTTACACTTTCACACAGGTGTGTAAATATCCAAGGAATGAGGTGTAGCTCTTGAGGGTGTGGAGGGAATCATCTGTTTTCTGGTTTAAAAGCTCTGATTCATCGAAAGGGAGGTCTTCAATGGTATTTTGTACTTCCCTGGAGAAACCAGGGGCATGGAGCCCCAATTCCCATGACAGAACTATGCCTGTAGCCATAGAGCAAGATGAAGTATCTGCCACATTGACAGCTGATTGAAGCGATGTCCTTGACACCAGTTTCCCTTCCTCTAAGATTACCTGGAAGCGGGCCTGGTCTTGCTGCGGCAGTTTTTCAACAAATTCCTCCAGTTTGCTGTAATTCAGGAAATCATATCTGGCAAGTAATGCCTGATCATTCGAAATCCTGAATTGAAGGCTGGCTGAGGAGAAGACCTTGTGACCCCAAAAATCCAATGCTTGCCCTCCTTATCGGATGGAGTGGAGTGTGGGTGTTGCTGTCTGGAGCGTTCCTTTGCTCCCAGACCACAAGTGAATTGGGGGAGAGGGGTCGTGTCAGAAAAGAGACTCAGACCCCCTTAGCTGGTACATAATAGCGTTTTTCTGACCTCTTGGGGATAGATGTACATATGACGGCTGTATGCCATTGCCAAACTATTGTAGCTGGCTCGAGGATAGCATTGTTGATTGGCAGAGCATCTCTACCCGGCATTGATGAGTGAAGGCTGTCCAGGAGCTTATTCTAAGTGTCCTGGATCTTCTCCAGGGAAAGCTCTCTTGCCACTCTTTATCTCCTGGAACTGGTGGAAGTCATTTGGGGGAGAGGAGAATGCTAAAGTCACTGCTGAGGACGATGGGAATCTGCTCCAGTGGTACCATCAGAACTCGACTGAGCGGCTCTTCTTTCATCATCAGATCTGAGCATCTACTTGAAGGTGTTTGAGATGGGGAGGCAGGTGAAGTTTCCCTCATGGAACGGGTGGGTTCTGAAGGTGAGGTATTGGGGCCTGACTCCCCAATAGGGCCAGCATGATGGAGCTGGAGGTGCTGCAGTGGGCCACATGGTGGGGGGG